ATAAACAATAGCTAGAAGAAAATATTGCCCACGGGGAAAAATTCAGGTCCGAAAGGGTTAAATTGACTACGAGATCGAATACGACCTTCGTCCAACTCAAATAAATGAATGAAACCATGTTTATCAAGCGGGTGGCGTCAAAGTGATGGCGGTGGCAACACAAGTAGAACGGAGGTGGCCGAGCATACACCTGCCATCACAGTGTGTAATGAACAATTAAGGGCTCTCTATCAACGACATCAGCGCTTTTGTGTAAACTTGGCCTCGATCTTCGAACAAATATGGAGAAAACGCGCTCTAAAACCTCTATGCAAAGACAAATACATCATAACACAATTTCTTTCGTGGCCTACTACAGATGCTGCCCAATCTTGCCTAAGGTTGAGAAAAAGAAATGTAGTGGATCCTGGAAAAGATCGCCTTAATAAATATTGACCAAACAAAGCGTTAAAAATGTCGTACTATTAAATAAAGTGTTAATGATGACCTTGCATTTCCTTATTTCGCTCCTTTGTTCTTTTCTTTCCTGAAATGAAGCCATTTTGATTTTGCCACCCCCGGGATCTGAGAGAACAGGGTGAGAAATGTGCGAGATGGTTTTTTGCGGATTGAAGATCTATGGGAACGGCACGCAGACAACTGTTGGTTTGAATGTTTGGATAAGATTCAAACCACAGTTACGCTGCGTTCATAGATCACGACTTGGGAGATTAGGATAAAGGCGACAATGAAAACGACAGGAGGTTTGGAGATTAGTGGTAGATTGGGTTAGCAGTAGATAGGGTATTTTGCTGAAAATATCGAATATGTATCGATTGAAATTGCTGCAGAGTAGTAGATTATGAGATAATGTAGTAGGAGATAGTAAATTACGGTAGTAGCAGATAAGGAGATTACGCTGAAATGATCGAATACGCACTGATCGATTCGAATGGAGACGTGATCGCTAATCTCCTGCTATGCTGATCAATAAGCAGCTTTTGAGCTGAATATCCTAATATCCTACTATAAATACCCTTTCGTCTACTGCGTTAATCTCCGTAGCTGTAAACTATGAACGCGGCCTTGGCGTGGACGGGTCTGCTAATTGGTCCAATAATCGTAAGATCATTGATAGTTCTGCCCCATTCCTAAACCTCACATTCTACAAGGCTGTTAACATCAACTAACATAAAAAAACCATGTATAATGCACTGTTCTCAATTTTCTCAACACACACTTTCTTGGGATTCATCATGAGTTTCTGTTAATATCTACACTAGCTACCTTACACTAGCTATTGAGAAAAGTCAATTGGTTCTGAATTACGAGATTGCAACTGTGCCATACATTATTCTGTGATTGACCAATAAAATAAATAAATCTGCCCGATCCATATTCCCTTCTGTTCTATCAAATGGTTATCAAATTGTCAGTTTTAGGTAAACTGTCATTCCTGAAATTTCAACGTTGATCAAGGAAATAGGATCATCTACCAAACCACAAAAAGGAAGGATACGTGCCAATAACAGTTTAGAAGATGGGAACGACCATATTTTCAGAAGAGATGTAGTGATGCAGAAGCCACATCGATCATTTTGCGGCATCAACCTATCGACTATCTGTCATGATATCGTAGGAATTTCGAAACGAATCTTTTCAGTTATTTCGTTCATTAATTTTATCTTTATTGATTCATACAGTATCCAGAAACAACTTGGAACAAAGACTAAAAAGTTTCGGATCTCCTGAAAGGGTGAATAATTAATTATCTTAACCCATTTCCAGTACAGCAACTTCGAAAAATCTTGGTTCTAAGCTGATAATATTGCACATACAGCTACTCACTTCCACTATCACTGCAGAACCACCGTCACTCACCACCACGGAGAATGATGCCGCTATAAGAAGATGAAAGAAGTGAAAAAAATCATATTCGAGCTCTCATTGAAATTGCGAAACATAGTAAGCAAGAGTCTATAGTCTCAATATTTGGATATTTTCAAATCAATGAAGTAAATCCGTTTTGATTAGCAATTAGCTATTTTTCAGGGTAATTGCTAGTGAATACACGAAATACTGCACTCATTTTGGAAGAATCTCCACAATGTAGTCATTGGAAGAAAATTGCAAGGAGAAGAGAGGAAAAGGAGCGAACCAACAAAGAAATGAAAGAAAGGCTACATACAATTGAAAAGCCAAGCAATCATCCTTTGATCATGAAATAACTACAGTACATGAAGGAGAATTTTTAGCGAGAGGAATTCCCTTTTTATTGCTTCAGAAAGAGAATTGAGAGGAAACAGCATCCCGGTTCGAGAACAGTCTACTTGTGGTGCGTTAGGTAAGTTTCTGTCACATTTTAGTCGACTTTTCGTACGCATCAATTCAGCAAAGAAATGTTGCTCACGTCCTCTGAACAAAACACTTGTAAAACTTCATAAACGAGTGTTCTCTTTCACTGCACGAGCAGAGTTAACGCCCGCAGTGTCTCTACGTCTAATGGGAAAGTTGCAACTTTTTCGGACTTCACAGATTCCTACGTGACTTTGATTGAACACACTACGTTGGGCACGTACAACACTTTAGTCTGGAGTGCAAAAAAGTGTGAATGAATAGGAATGATACCGCATGCCAAGATATACCTTGTAAGCAGTCAAATTCATTATTTACCAACGATTACAAAGAGTTTCTCCAGCTTCTCTCTTCTTGCAACCTCGGCATTTTAGTTGTAAGTGTGTTATTTTGGCCTTATGAAGTTGTCAGGCGGAACTCTTTATTAAGTGGCCTAACGTTCCGACTATATCATCGTCTTTAGAGGCCGATAGTTCCACCGTTTGAGCGGGATAGTCTGCTACAATACGAGAGCGTTAGTGAGTTAAAAGATTTTTAACGCTCTCGTATGGTAGCGGACTATCTCGGTGGAACTATGGGCCTCTGAAAACGACGATTCAGTCGAAAAGGCCAGGACAGGACTAATAACACGCTTACAGAGATAATTGTCTGAACGCTCCAATAAACAAGAATAAACTGCAAGCATCAAGGCTAACTCATGGTCCCTTGGAGTGGTGTTCATGCCCCAGGCAAATCAATAAGGAGCGACTACGAGAAAATACTGAGTCCTATCTACCTAGAAACGAGCGTTTACTCTTGAATTGATCTTGTTGGACGCTGATCGGGAGATCAACAATTCTGAATATTAAAGCATGATCAGGGACTTTGAAAATTTGCTCTGAAAAATGCGAAACTCAATAGAACCTTGCAAAAGTTTCAACCAGTCTCAGTTGTTTGAAATCACCCTGCTGCTGCCCTTCCCATGAAGGGCAATAAAAAAAGAGTATTATAGGATCAGATTCTTGGAAATTATTTGAAAAGCCCTAAATGTTCCGAAAACGATCGTGCGCGAGTGCCAGAATAGGATAGAGAACGCTGAACTCCTCCTTAGAAGATTTCTTTTTTTGCTATGACGGAGGA